CTTCCACTCCAGACCCACCGAGTCAACCTTGCTGAACCCAAGGAAATTTCTCTTGAACCCGCAAGCCTGGAGGTGTGTGGTGTCTCCTCCCGTCCTGGGCAGACTGGGAGGCTGGGATGACCCCCCGGGCTGTCTCAGTGGGCTGTGGACCCTGTCATTTCACAACTGCCTTGACTCCTGCCCACCCCTGACCCTTCCCTGTCTCTCTCTATCCCTCTACCGTCAAATAACACTTTGTTTAAATCCAGGAAGTTCACAGGATGGTTATTAATAAAATGGCCCCAGCAGCTCACTCTCATAAGCTCTGACCAGGCCTCCCGTTCTCAGCTCAGACAACACGTGGCTTTCAGAGCTCAAGGGCACCCATTGCTCTTAACCTTGAACCCTTGAACGAGAGTCTCTTCGATTCAGTCTGAATCCCATCCCCCACCAGGCTTCCCCTAGGTAGGCATGCCAGGTGAGCTAATTTTCAAAATGTAGTAACCAAATAGTGCTGCTTCCACCTCTTGCTTCTCAAAAAAAGTCTTTACTTCCCCACTTGGATTAACACGTTTCTGAATTGCCCACACTAAGGACTATGTTTGTTTTCTTTCTGAACTGAGAGTTTCTGAGCTGAAAATACATTATCTGTTTTGACCATTGGGAGGAAATTAGGCAAACGTGTCAGGAGCCAACCAAAATGTTCATCTACTTTGCCCCAATAAACCTCATTTCTGGGAATGTGTCTTAAGGAAAAAAATACAAAATATTGGGGGTTAAACGCCAACACAAAGATATTTATTGCAGCTCTATTTATAGCTAAAATAAAATGCATATATATAGAAACAAACATCCAACAAGAAAATGCCATGCAGCCATTAAAAAAAAAAAAAAGAAAAAAAAGAATTCTACATCAACACTGAAAAATACTGAGGAAAAAAGTCGGATTAAAGTTAAATGTACATTTACAATTTTGTAAAGAAAAGTGCCCATGAAAAAAGCCCGTTATTTTTTTCTCAAATTTTCCCCTTATAATTTCTTTCAAAGCTGCCAGTGAAGTGGAGCCGTCCCAAGCCTCCCTCGAAGTCTCATGTGGGAAAGAAACCTCAAGTAGCCCTCCCTTCAGAGAAGAAACCATCAGCCACACCTGCTTGGCGCTTAGGAGACAGGAATACAGCACAGAACGCCCGAGGTCTCACAGTGAGATGTGGTGGGAAGCTCCCAATTTTTAAGAGTTCTGATTCAGTCTCTTAGACGATAGGGACAGGGAACTAGTGACTGCCAGGCAAAGAATCGTGAGAAAGAAGGGGACACTGTGTATGAACGGGCTCTGCAAACCGTTAAGGCACCGTTCACTTGCATGACAGTTCTTAGGAGGGGCTAGCCAGCCAAGGGAACCCAGAAAGGCCAGCAGTATCCTCAAGTGGCTGTCCAGCACCTCCTAGCTGTCCAGGGCTTTGCTGCACTCCCAGTGGCCCCTTACAGTGTTGGCCCCTGTGAGTGGGAAAGGATCTTCCTTATGCTGGTTCAAACGGGCCAACTTCTGCCAACTGGTCCTACTTCTGCTTGCTTTATAGAACTACCCAGAAAAATCCCAGGCCCTTGGGCTTGCTCTGTCAGCGTTTGCAAACATCTCTCAAGTCTCCCCTTTTAGGCCAAATGCCTGGCTTCATTTCAGGGTCCCTTGCACAGTCCAGACTGTCTACCGTCCGGCGGCTAGTGGGACACTCTTGTGTGTTACAGAAGGACCCGTGAGAGGGCAGCCGTGCCTGTAACCAAAAACCCTCCAGCTCATCTGACAAGACACTGGCACAAAGCCCCCTCCTGTCCCCGCTCTGGTCTGAAAAGGTCTGTTGCTCAGTCCAGGGCAGACTCTGCTTTCCCAGCAATCATGTCTCACTATCACCCCTCAGAGCTTCAAGTCAAGCAAACTGTCCTTTTCCTCACGCAGTTTACAGTCCCTATTTAATGCGCATGCAGGTGACGTTTTAAAGGGAGGAACTGCCTTGTCTGGACCCAACGCCAGCACTTAACCCCTCCGGAGAAGGCTGTGAACAGTCATGTCAGGGGAAAGGAGACGCAAGACAAAAGGACATTATTACGGTGCTTTTTCCGTTTTTCTTTTTGCACAAAAACAGTCCATTTATTCAAGTGTTCTCCAGCACAAGTACATTAGAAAGGAGCTTTATTATAGTCTTCTGGGCACAAAAAAAAAAAAAAAATGTGATGAAGGCGGAACTGACAGACTTTCTACATCTGCTGTACGCATTGACCTCTTTAATTATTTCATAAACAGCTATGTCACAAGCATCACTTACACAGAGATACAACAGAACACCGGGGGGCGGGGGGGGGGAGGACCCGCCCAGGGCCCCCTCGCACGCGCCCCGCCCTGGATGTCCCAGAACCAGACTGTGAAATGTACATTATTATTGTCAATAAATAGAGAAGCAACCCTAAAAAAAAAAAAAAAAAAAAAAAAAAGGGTGGTGAAAGGGGAACCAGGGAAGGGGGGAAAAAAAAAGGAAAGGAAAAAGGAGGAACTGAAGAAAAAGGGACGGGGCAGGGGCGGGAAGGGGCTGGGAGTAAGTCCTGCATTTAGCTGCGTGGAATGTGGAGTGAAGTGCTCTGCCGCCGGGGTCAAAGCGCAATCGTCTGTAACAGTAAAAGTTATTACCAAATCGGCTACGGAGTTTATTCTTCAGTATGAATACATGATTTCCCACAAGTAAGTAAGCACCCGCTACTTCAATGCCTCAGCTAAAACACATGAAATCGCTCATTTAGTTTTCAAGTACAAAGTTAAAATGCCTTTTTAATAATAATATATCAGAGTAAAATAATAGTCTCTTTTAAACTCCACTACAAGAAAACAAAACAAACAGTCATTGTCCAGACAGCAGACTTAATTTAACAATATATATTTTTAATAAAATGTTTTAGCACCTTGTTGAGTCACCTCCTCCCTCTGCATATTCTAAGGAATTTCGGCATTTTTGTTGTTGTTGTTGTTATTTGTTGAATTCTAGGGCTGTGCAACCAAATCAGTCTGTGAAGTGAAATGGGACTCAGGTGAGGCTTTGATCCTTGCTCATCTCCTCAGGCACGCAGTGCTGGAGGCCACCAGACTGGAGTTTGAGAAAGCCACCCTCCCGCACCCCTCACTGGGGGAGTTTTCCAGTTACAGGAGTCTGTGGGCCTCCGTTCGGGCAATTCAGCCAGGCATGACTAGCAGAGAGATCTTCCATCCTTGTCCTGATTTTGACCTGCTATGCCTCCCTCCCCCAAAGTCTACTGCCTAGGGTCAACGACAAGCAAGAGGTCACCAACCCAAGGCCGCCTCAGCAATACACGGGCACAGGACGGCTGCCCTCGCTTCCAGAAGACCCCGGCCTTCCTTTACCAAAACGTAAAGATTTGAGAGCTTCTGCTAGGACAATGGAGTCAATCCTTTAATCTGTGCTCTTTCTCCCCAGATGCTCCAAATTCTTGTTGTTAATCCCCCGCCTGGGCAGGGGATGAGTGAGAGGGCCAAGCTAGCTCCAGGCCAGCCCCCCACACCTTTCCCATCCTGTGGTAGGTGAGAGGCTTCACCTGCTTTCTGCCAGAGGGCAGGACAACTAAGGCCTGGGGACGATAGCCGATGGCAGATGACAAATTCAGATTCCTCACCTCCTGGATCAAAACAGCCTGGCTAGAAACAGTTCTCACTGGAATCTTGGCTCTGCCGTTCCCCTGACCAAAGCAAACAGCCAGCCCTCTTCTGACCTCAGTGCTAGGCAGGCCCCACGGCCCTCACCCACAGCTCAAGGGGGCTCCTGCAAGTTTCCTGAAAATGACATCTCTGAAAACACCAGTGCCACAGCAACTCTGCACCAAGCAGGACAGCAACAGGCATTCAAAACCGCCTCCGGGATCCACTCTATATATACTGATATATAAAGACGTGAAGACTACGGATTACAGATTTCCTGTAGAACATCTCCCAGATGGCTCCACTGAATCATTCCTTCCCTTCCTTCTATTACAGACCTTCCTGTGGTAGAGATGGTGGGCCATTCCCATCTAGGCTCCCCCAGAATTGCCAGCTAAGCGGGAAGAGTGGGGAGCCAGCCCTTGTTAGACCAGTTCAATGTCCAACAGTCTTCCTTCCCGCTGGGTCTACTGTAGCAACCCCCCAAAACTCACACGGACATCACCAGCCAACCACTCTCAGGCCTGTCCCCAAAGCGAAGAGGTCCTGGATGCTCTTCTGGGGATTTCTCACAGGATGTGAGAAAGGTTCTGGGGTCCAGAGAGAAAAACAGATAGTAACACACTAACGTCATCTGCCATATGCAAGACCCCGCCCCCCACCCAATCCTCAGCTACTGCTCCCCTGGCTTACTGTTTTCCAGCCCGTCCCGCAGGGAAGGGGTTAGCACCAGCCAGCTTGAGGCTCACGGGGCTCAGCAGCTGCCTGCTGGAGACTAGCTTCTTCTCGGGCCGGCAACCAAGGCTGTGTCCCTGGCACAACCAAGGGTCCCTGTGTCCCCCAGCAACCTCCCGCAGACAAGAGCCACAGACCTCTTTGGCACCACAGTCCACTTAGCACCTGCAGTAAGTAGGGAGGCATCATCCTCAGTCCCTAGAAGCCTCGTTTCCAGGGGCAAATAGGCCTGCTCTCCAGGAAGAAAATCCTACCAGGAATACTCTCCAGAATGTTCCCTGGGCCTTTTTAGTTCCTCCTGCTCCATGGCCTCTGACCACAGCTTCATCCACAGCCAGCGAAACAATCCCCACCTTCACTCTCGAACGGCCCTGCCACAGCCTGTCAGAGCACAGTTCCCTTTAGAAGGTGACCCAGCATTTGTCCCCAGAAGTGCCCCAGGATTAGAGGTGGATTAAGAGCATCCCGGAATGGCCAAACTGACACATTCCCAAGGTCCCCTGCGCCCTACCAAGTTCTGTGGGACTGAGCCCACAGGTCGGCTGGCAGCGAAGCTGGTGATCATTAACTCATCCCTTTGAGGGACACCTGGCCAGGCTTCTGGGCCCGGAAAAACAAGGTCTCTTTAAGGATCAGTCACAACGAACCTCCTCTGAGCAAGCTGCCGGCCCACACGCATCCTGACTTGCCACGTCCTTGGCTACCAAGTTTCCTCCCCACACCACCCCTTGGGTGGAGCTTGGGCCATTGGGAAAGGCAAACTCCTTCACATAAGCAGCGGACAAGACTTAGGAGAACCCGAGAACTGAAGGTCTGCAGAGGAAGGCCTGGACTGTCCCAACACTGCAGGGCAGGGGGCGGGCTGGGAAGACCTTAGCACTGGCCAGCGGGGGAGGGAGCACCTTGGACTGCCTGAAGCAGCCCTCCTCCCCCCAGCCTTCCTGGAGTGGTGGTGGTGGACTCCAGGCCAGGGAGATGGAGCCTAGCTGGAGGAGGGGACGGGGCGAGCACCACAGTCAGGTACAGGGACTCCAGAGAGGGAGGGGCAGAGGTATCCCCCCTCTCCTAGCCACTCCAGCTCCCTGGGGGTCCACCATCACCACTGCCACCATGTTACGGAGCTGGCAGGAAGCAACTGGGTGTGATCTTCACAGCCAATCTGACAAGGAAATGAGTAGATTAGGGTCCAGAACTGAGCACCCCTAAGAAGAGCGGGAGGCTGGCCACCGGCTGTAAGCTTACTCCTGAGCAATGAGCAAGGGATTCAAAGCCTTAGTTTAATTTTGTCACCAATTACTAATTTGCTTTATTCAAAACATGAGGTTCACTGTCCCATTTTCTTGTTTTTGAATGGAAGCCCCTTGGCCAAGAACAGACCTGGATGTCAATTTTATTTTGGTAGGGGGAGAATAGGTAGGGGGAGTCGAGGGCTGACTTTACTGGTGCCTAGAGTTGCAGGTCAGTATCACAGGTTGCTAACAGAAGAATCTTTTGACATCACCAGGGGCAAAAGAGAGAGAACGCTACCTGCTAGAGGAGAGCACCTGCTAAAATAAAACCTCCTCCTTTTCCTGCCTTCAGCACCTAGCAACTTCTGGGATTGACAGTCTACCTGCAATCAGGGCAACAGAGGTAAAGAGCTGCAGGGCCGACTCCACAAAGTCCTGAATCCTGGGGAGAGTCGTGCGGGGTGCTCCCTGGCTGCGTGCGAGTGCATTCATTATGCATCGGGGTAGAAATTCGTTCCTGTGTATGCGTGTGGGATTGTTTGATTGGTGTGGGGCTTATGTCTGCAGTGGGACCCGAGGCTCAGCATCCTGAGCCCCCTTCCCCCGCTCCCCACTACATAATATTTCTTATACATGACCCTATCTATGTATTTATATAGCGCCTATCACCATAGGCCCTATCTTTCTAGGGATGCGAACTTGGGACCATGTGCTTGAGAGCACACCTCCCAGCCCTGCCGGTCCCAGGAGGTGCCATCCCCCCTCCCATTATAAAATATATATCTCTATATGCCACATATCTACACCCCATCTATCCAGGCAAGCATCTGCCCATTGGGCCCTCACCCTGGAGCCGCCAATGCCGTCTCCGCCTACCGCCAACGCCAGGCTGCCTGCCTCGGTAGGAAGTGGAACCAAGTGTTGCGCACTTGGGGCTCCAGGTGCTGCTGACTCGAGGTAAGAGCACAGCTATCATCAGACCAAGCACTAGAAAAGAAATACACACCACTCCAATCACACACACGAGGAGAGAGACGGCCTGGTCCTCCCTCCAGCCCTGACACACGTGACTTGAGAGGAAGGGAAGCAGAAGAGAAGAGGGAAGTAGAAGAGGGACATGCCGGAAGGCTGGCCCGGGGGCTCCCCGGCCGCCCAGCTGTTACACCTGGTGGCCCACCTGGCCCGAGGGGTGGGGAGCCAGGGCACCAGGGCCACCACTAACTTAGAAGCACCCTGCTCCCCGCACCTTGGTTTGAAACCTAAAGGGAAAGGGGGGTGGGGGTGGGTTTTTGTTTTCTTAAAGAAAATCTGAAAACAAACATAATTATAACCAGAACCATAAGAATAATTATAACAAAAGGTGTCATCAGCCTCCCAGTATAAAACTGCAGCCTTTGGAGATGACCAAAAACATCACATTCCAGGGGCGGAAGCCGCCTTGTGCACAGAGGGTGGATGGTGGGGCCTCATAAAAGAACACACAAAAGGCGACTTTAGACAGGAAAGCACCAGTACGTTTTGTATGTTTTTTTATTTGCTCCAGGTGGGGTTTTTAACTGTCACTTTCCCACACTCTGGATTATTTCTGATCCCACCACGAGGAGCCCTCGAATCGGCTAATGTGAGAAACTGGGAATGAAGACCCCTTATCCTGCCATCTTGCTGAGGGAGTCTCCTTTTTGAAAAAAATCAAAAGGTTATTGCGTGAGTCTGGATGAATTCCACTCTCAGCTTTCCACGGTCCCGACCACCTCATCTCACCCACAGCCCCCGCCCCCCTTTTTTGGCAGGGAGCAGCGGGAAAACGCTGTTCCCAAATTCTCCTCCTTCGCCTCATCTAACACAAGGGGGCAAAACCCACCTCGATCGTGATTCACCTTCAAGCCAGCTCCCTCTCTCCATCCTTGGTTAAAACCCTTTGCGCATAAGGCAATGTGGAAGCTGATGTTTTTACTCATCTCGCTGTTTGAAAGCACCATTATGAAGTCAGGTTGTACAGTAGTTAACAGTACCTTTTATATATATAGCTCATATCTATCATATATATAAACTGTAAACAAGAGGTAACAGCGGCTTCTAGAAACTGGTTTTCTTCAAGGTTTCCTGTGTAGTAGGCACCTGAAATACTGTATAAAAGGGTCTTGTGTGGTGTTCTCGTCTCCCTGCTGCTAGCTGGGTTCTGTTTTGCATGACCAGGAATGGTGCTGGCAAGACAGCTCAGTGGCTGGGAGGGAATTCTGCCGCCTGAGCGTCTCTGTTTTCTGTCTCCTGCTTGTGCTCCTATCTGATCAGGCTAGAGACAACAACAAAAATATATATATATAGTTTAAAAAAAAAAAAATCCAATACCAATATATAGATTTCTATAGAATTTCCTTTTTTCTGTCTCTCCCATCTTTCCTCTGCAAGGTATTGTTACTATTTTTTGTTATTGATTTTTTGCTGCAATAAACCCTCTTGTTTCAGTCACAGCAAGAAACAAAAACCCAAACAAACAGAAAACCCCTCTGAAAAGAGAAAACAAAAGGTTTGACCAAAAATAAAAAGGGGGGAGGGAGGGAGCTTGGTTTTGTTTTTAAATAGGACTGAAGATTAACATTGAAAAATCAGGAGATGATGTCCAACCCTTTTTTGCAAGGCAAAGCCCTCCGGTGTTTCCGCTTCTGTGGTTTTTGTTTTAAATTCCTTTTTCTCTTCTGGGTGCTGATACTTCTCTCCATCCTCACGTTCTTGGTGTTTTATTGTGTTTTGTGTTTTTTGTTTGTTTAACTTTATGTCACTACCTCAGTTGGCCCTCACGTCCCTTACACACAAGCAAAATATTCCTTCAGCGGAGCGAAGAGGTGGCGGATGACCGGGACGCTCCACGACCGGCCCAGCAGTCTCTGCCTCGCCAAGCGGCTCATGTTGGAAACGTCGGTATAGTGGACAGGGAAGCCAAACACCCTGGGGAGGAAAGGCAGGGGGGGCAGGCAGTGAGCACTGGCGTGTGGGGTTCTGGGAAATCTGTCCTTTAAAACCAGTTCAAGACTCAGCCTGCCCCGCCCCGCCCCCCGGGATCTGAAGGTAAGTAAGATAATCACAGCTAAGAGATGTATCACACAGTAGAAACAAAGTGAGTATTTGTGAGAAACGCCCCTAAGGACAGGCCCCACCTGGGATTTAGATCCACAGTGGGTATCTGAAGTTTGTACGTAATAACTATACATCCCTGATACCCTCCTCACAAGAGAGGTGAGAACCCTCCCCGGGGGCCAAACTCTTGCCTGACCTCACACGTTCCAGGAGTTCCCGTTTGCTCTGAACATTTGTGTAAATCGCCTGTCGGACTACATCAGTTACACTGAGAATGAAGAGATAATCTAGCCCGTGAGTCTAATTTGCACCAAATCAGGGTGCTCAGGCTATAATGCCCACCTGGTCGTGTGCTGTCCTGGTTTGTAAAGTACCTAAAAGGAGCAGCGCGAGTTAAGGAAGCTCCTGTAGCTGCCATGTTTCCCTGGAGATCGGCAGGACCTCCAGGAGCCGAGGCCTCATGGATTGATTCCTAGATGCCTTTTATGTTAGGACCATACCCAGGAATCTGCCATGTTGGGAAATGCCTGGGAAAGCCCACTGCTCACCTGGCATCTGAGGAAGACACGAGCCTGGCCAGAAGGGACAGAGACCCCGCCCTCAAGGACAGCAATCAGAACACACCACACAGCCCATGACACCAGCACGCGCCTTGGGTACCTTTCCATTTCAGTGCACCATAAGATGTCCTCTTTCTCATTCATGAAGACGGGGAAATGCTGGTCTTTGCCCTGCTTTATGGAGTTCGACCTAGTAGTAATGGTCCTCACTTTGCTGAACTAGAAGATGAGGAAAGAGGAATGAGCACTCATTTGCCGGTCATGCTTCCATCATGAGTGCCAGGCGCTCGCCAGGGACTGGTGAGTCAACCCCTGACGAGGCCAGGTCCAGCCAGGGATCCGGGGAAGGCCCCAGTCGTGAGCCTCTGCAGATCCCACTGCCTTGCTCTTCTTCCTACTTGAGGTCACCCAGCCATCCTTAGTCCAATCCCGCTGGCCAGGGGCGTGAGATGTAGCAGCTCGAGCCACTATCCTTCCTTCCTAAGTCTTCTAAGAACTGCTTCCTTCACAAGGGCAGTGATTTGCAGGCAAAAAGATGCCAAATTACTGGGGCTCGAAGACACCTGAATGCTGCCACCTGACGCCTGGTATGCTCGCTCTGGGAGATTTCTCCAGAGAAATGGAGCTTCCACCTCACAGGGGAATCTCTGCTCTGAAGGCTCATGCAGTAGGTCCTGGCCATAAAACTTAATAGCCGAGGGAGATCTAGGGACCCTGGCAAAGATTTCTCAGTGTCTGACTCTCATGGGACAGCAAGCGATGATCAACAAGGAAGGGCTGAAGGCCAGCGAAGACTTTTGTTCTCTCTTCTTGCCTTCCAGGCTTTCCCCTGGATCCCTCCCTCAAGTCTACTGTGTCCGAGACCCCAGTATTACCCCCTAAATTGCATTCACCCTAGCTGCACCCACAGAGCCCTAGAGGGAAGGCAAGACACATCCCTGGTGGCAGCTCTACCTCATCCTGTCCCCTGTCCTTGCCCCTACCCCCAACAGAGCTGACACTGGGGCTAACCTTGGCTATTCTGCCATGCTCCAGACACTCCTGCAGCTCCAGCTTATCATTCACAGTAGATGCCAACGGCCTAGGAGGCAGAAAAGAGAAGGTGACCACAGAAACCAGGAGAAGAGCAGGGACACACCCAGCAGCGCTGACTCGGCAGCCATCTGACTCACACAGGTAAGCAAAAGAGGACCCCATCTCCCCCCACATGTTGTAAGCCCTTCAAATCCCCCCAGAACATATGTACACACACTGCGGCCACCCACGGATACAAATCCACCAAGCATTAATCCTTAATGGTTAATGCAATGAGTCACGTATGAGAGGGTAGACCAGATCACCAAGCATCACTTTCTGTGCGAGACTTTTCTGACATATAAAAATACTTAATGAAGGTTTCACTTAGTGCTCCACCATCTCAGCATGGGAACCACGGGCACCCGTGGTCCAATCGCACTCCAGTGTCCCTCCTGTTTATGCACACACATACCCACTCTACTTAGTCCCACTGGAGCCCCTGCTCCTCCCAGAAACTCAAGAATTCTAGAATTTTAGAGTTGAAGAAGCAGGTAGGAAAATCTCATAGGATTAAGGTCTGTCAGGAGATACTGAGTCAGTGGGTCCATGAAAATGCTGGGCTACATAAGCCTGTCCATTTTCCCGATACACATACCCATCTTGAGAACTTTAGGGGGCACTGTGAGTTTTCGGGTCAGCTGCCCCACCGACTCATCTCCTTCCCATCAATAAGCAGCTTTGCTGAACGGGTACGAGGTTGAGGAAGTTCCTATAACTTCATGCTAATGGCAGAGACAGCTTAGATGACTGAGGCCAGATGAAATGATGTTTCCAATTTACAGGTATCACACTAAGGTGGTTTAAAGTCCACAGTCAAAACAATCTGGAAAATGTTTCCCTTTCTAATCGATATCTAGATTGGGTAGATCACACTCAACTTTTGAGCTGCTCGCTCTCAACCAGAATCTCCTTGTCCCTCGCAGACTTTTTTATAATGAAATGATTACACTAAAGAAATGAAACTTTCCTTCCTTCTTGAGTATTAAAGTCTTTATCCATATAACCTAAATGAAGAGCATCCTTCCAACAAAAGGCCTGACGACAACTAAGTGTGTGGACAGGAAGTGAAGCAGGGCCCTCCAATCCGCCTGGTGCCGCTTCAAGATTCCCTCGCTTGGAGCAGGATGAGGCCAGGCTGTGGGGGCTTCTCATCCCCAACCCCATCCTTCACAACTTTACCTCAGAAGACTAAGACCAGCTGATTCTAAACACATCACCAATGTAGAAGAACCAACTATTTAACTCAGCAGCATGTTGCTTCTTTTGCGTAGAGTCCACTTGTAAAGTTGCCCTTTTAAACCACAAGTTGTTGGCTTCCTAGTCAAGTGTTTTCTATACCCTGACTCCCCTTCCTCCTCAAGAAGGAAAATAAAGAACGTGGCAGAACAGCAAGCTGGTCAGCAGGGGAGGCTGGCCCGAGAGGCTGAGCCCCCTCCTCAGGCCGTCTCCTGCCACGGATCAACCCGCAGCCACCCCGGGCCCGGGAGCTCTCACCAACCTGTTCATACCAGGAAGGTTCCCCCAGAAGTAGCGGGCCCTGTGTGCAGCTGACACTTCTTTGGCATCAATCATCACAGGGTTGGACTATAAAACAGGAGAGAGATTAAAGATGAGCAAGAGAGGAATATTAAAAAGTGGCGGGAAATTTTGCTCGTTTAAGAGTCTTGAAGCCTCAAAGGCTTGTCTCTCAGAAGGCCACACACTGGGACAGCCTGAAGCCTCCAGGAAAAGCCAGAATGAAGCCTAGCCACATTCCACATGCTCTCACTGGAACGTTCTAGACCAGCACAGTCCAACTGAATACTCTACGGTGATGGAAATGCTGTCTGCACTATTCACTACAGTAGCCACTGGACCACCAGCTGCAGGTGGCTAACGAGTACCTGAAATGAGGCTGCTGTGACTGTGGGATTTTAATGTTCATTTGAACACCACGCATGGCTGACGGCTACCAATATTGGACCACACAGCTCTAGTTCACCCAGAGGCTCTGAGAAAGTTCCAAGAAGTGAGGGAGGACGTATTCACTATATGTCCAGATTATGAACCAAACAGACACATTTATAGTCTAAACAGCAACTTGAGAGGTTCCTGATCCTAAGACTTGGGAGCATGGGCTCAAGCTCCCGGACCGCCCACCCCACAGAAATCCTCTGTGCACAGCTCCAACCTGGCTCAGAGCCGAGTAGGGACCCACATGAGATAAGCCATGTTTTCTTCCGAAGTGTCATAAAGCATCCATCATGGTGCCAGGGAGCTAGGATAAGCCATTCTGGTCAGGAAAATCGGTTGTGGCATCTCCAACGTTCCCCCAGTGAAACACCACACAGGACCCAGCCCCAAAAGTCTGGCACCCCACCCTCTTAACTGCCAGGCCCTTCAAGCCCTGAGGCCCACAGAAACATACTAACTACCTCTTAGAGTGTGGCCAGGGGTTCTTTCAGGGGTGGGCCTGTCACAGTGCTTCCTCCCTGTCTAACTGGGAAGCTCCGTGCTTCCCAAACAGGCCCCTTGCAAAGCGGAAGTCCCCAGTCCCCAGCCGCACAATGCAGATGAGACAGGGAGACAAAGCGGCGGTCCAAGGTAGAAGCCATGATGAGTGAGCTGGCCATACCAAGGGTGCTGGCTATACCTCAAGAAATCGCGAGATGTCCCTCTTGTCACTAACGCCCATGGCCACCACATTCTCAAAGAGCCAGAAGAAGGGGCGATCATCTCCCTCCTTGGGCCGCGCATCATGCAGGAGGCGGTAGAACTCAAAGAAGAGCCGGCCAGTGCCCTCTGAGAGGCGGAAGAGAAAGCCGTCAGCTGGGCTGTCTGCAGAGACAGGGGTGTGGCTCGGGCACGGGGAGGGCACGGGAGAACAGGGTCATCGGGAATAGCTGTCCCAGGGCAGAAATGTCCGAGTAGGAAACCTACGTGCAGAAGCACCAGCTGAGAAGGTGGTGGGGTGAGCTCAGCACCTACCGTAGAGTCCCTTGCGGGCAGGGTTGACGATGGAGAGATCATTGCACGGACTGCCCCCAATCACCAGATCGAATGGGCCCCACTCCTGGATCTGGGAAGATAAAGGTAATGTGATGGGCCTGACGTCCAGGGACAGAGGCAGAAAGGGAAACAAATTATCTGTGAATTTGGCAAAAAAAGTAGCTTGGCGTGGAAGAGGTGACCCAGCTGCTTTGTATTCTCACTACATATACATATTCATATAAATATACTATGTACACACACACACACACGCACACACGGTACAGCCACAGGCCAGTCACTGAGGCCCTCTGGGCTCAGTTTCTGAAACAATAAAGTGAATGGACCGAACTGGATAATCTCTGAGGCCAGCGGGGAAACCAGTGTGTTCCCAGCAGGAAAAGCAGCCACTCGGTGAGAAGGCAGTCCTGACCGGACAGCTGAATGCAAAGGTACTTTGTGCTCTGCACACTCCGCACAGGGCGTCTGGGCCACCTGAATACCCTTCAGGATTCCTGAGGGCCTGCAGTTTCGGGGGTAGACACAGATAACTGGAAGGGCAAAGGGCCATTTAGGTAAGACCCTGCCAGAGCTCCCTAGAAATGGAGGCTGGTAAAGTTGCGGCAGGAAGTACCAAGAGGACAGACACCCGACTGCAATCCTAAGCCCTCGACGAAAAAGGGCCTTGAAACCGGCCAGGAACAGCCTGAGCTCCACAAAGCCAGCTTCCCAATTCCCATTTTGATCTGCCCATTTACCCTCTCGAGACAAGGAGGAAAATGGAAGAACGGAAGAGGCTGGCGGGGGAAACGGGGAAAGGAAAAGAATAAATGAACAAAACGTAAGGGGGCTGGTGCTGCTTCCGGGAGCTGAGCGTAAGGGACATGGAGGCGGGTCAGGTCCCACAGCACTGACATACATGCTTCTGCGTGACGCTGCGGACGTCCCCGACGTACATGATCTTCCCTTGGTGCCGCACCATGCCCACCGTGATGGAGTCTTCACACACCTCCGAGGCGATGTAGCGGTCCACCTGAATGCCCAGGTCCTTCAGCACCAGCAGCCCTGCACCGGCCAGACACATCGATCAGCAACAGGCCCAAGCCCAGCCCTGCCCAGTCCAGGAAGCTGCCTGCAATCGTTCTGGACCAAACGAACATCAATAGCAAAGACAGTGAGGCTGTTTCAGGTCTAGTTTGATCTACTTCGAAGGTGATCAAGGCCAGGAAAG